TGGCTTATAGTTTCAGAGGTTTAGTCCATTATCATCATGGTGGGGCATGGCAGTGTGCAGACTGACATGGGCTGGAGAAGGAGCCAAGAATGGAGAAGGAGTTGCATCTTGATCTGAAGGCTTCAGGAAGTGAACTATCTCACTGGTGTAGCTTGAGCATAGGAGACCTCAAAGCCCACCTGCACAGTGACACACTTCCTCCAACATGACCACACTTTCTAATAGTGTCACTCTCTTTGGGAGTCATTTAATTTCAAACCACCACATATGCTAACACTAGCAGAATAATGTCCAGATTCACAAATCTTTGCTAGTTTTATATTTCTCTTTGGATATAACCCCAAATCCTTAATATTACCTGAAGAGAACAGTGAAATCTCTTCTGTATGCATGTAAGTTTCTGCTTAAATAACTCTTCTTCAGGAAAGTTTTCCACAAATATGTAAATTGATATAATTTTCGTGACAATACACATTTTAGCATCTTCTTACTAACAAAAATTAAAATAAAAATTCTCGGTCACTAATATTTTAGTTATTAGGATTGGCATTTTTGGTAAATACTGCCTCGTATTGCTGAAACTTCCACAATGCATGTTTCACAGTTGCTTCTATTAATCTTAACTTATCAAAGCCCTTATTTTTTTTCTTGTGACATTACTATAATTAGAATAGGACAGTGGTATTTAATTTTTTAGTGATTATTCTTCCAATAAATAATGCAAGAACAGGGCTTAGGTCTTTACATTATACTTATGTATATCTAGTATCTAACTGTTTCTCAAATGAAGTAGGTACTCAAAAGAACAGACTTACGTTCAACTGTTCAACTGATGAGTATATAAAGTATAATATAGCAAATAATAAGACAAATACTACAAAGGGGTCATTATATAAGACAGTTAAGTATGGATTTTTTGCCAAATGCACTAAAACTTACTTTTAATAAAAAAAACCTATTTTGCTTTTCAAGAAATGATTATGGTTCCACAGACCACTAATTGCCTTCAAGACCACCAGTTTACACAGTATAAAAACCACAGGACAGTGCCACACAGAAAGTATAACTAGGGAAGAGAAGAACTAGTCCTCCAAAGCACTCTGAATTTGGAAGACAGGACAATGAGAAATGATGTGGATTAGTAGGATCAGAAAGAAACTAATGGACTAAATTAACTAATTTAGAAACTCAATGGACATCACATACGGAGGCGGTAATAAACTGCTCTGGAGGGATTATAAGTAAGATATACATGAAGATTGATATCATACCTTGCAAAGTAGACGATCATGAAAAAATAACAAAGAGCTATTTTAGAAGTATGTTAATGAGAAATCATTTGTAATGGGATAAAAGAATTTGCAAATGGAAGCATACAGGCGGTGTCACAGATAATTAACTTGCACAAATATGCCCTGAAAGAACTCACATGCATTTGTACCACAGAATCTGTTCAGGAATGCTCAGAGTGGACACGTCAGTTGTAGGACACATATACAATGTAATCCTTATAACAATGACCATGGATACACTATTACAGACTTTGCAAGACAATTTTTTATCACATTTTATGCATTGCATGCAGATAGAACTTATGTTTTTATGGATATGCCCCCAATGGTGGAAAACCATGAAGAAAATGAAGGGCATTAAGTTAGCATCCACAGACAGCAGGGGAAGGTGAAGAGGGGAAGCTGGAGGACATGGTATATTTGTAGAAGTGACCAAAAGATTTTTTAAATAAATATTTGAATACACATACATTCATTTTTCAAAATGTCCATGTCTTTGAGAAACATTATTTTGCACATTAAAATTATTAATTATTTAATCTTTTCTAATTTTAAAAGAATTCAATATAAGTAAATTCATTTATTATCTAACCCAAGACATAACTACATAATAAGTGTCTTGTACCAGCATTCAGAACAGAAAACCACTAACATCTTGCCACTTTAGCTTTTTTTTTCATGAAAGAAATAAGATATTACAGGTAAAATTTCTTTGTTGTTTCATTCAGTCTGGCTTCTTGTTCCCACCCTGTAGTGAACCATGTATAATAGACTTAATGTCTTTTTTGTTTGTAAGACCATTGCATACTTGCATTATTCATGAATAATATACAATAAACGTTTTGTTACTTTTTAAGTAAGCCAAACAGTGACAATTATATTGCTATTATGTAGCCTTTCTGAGGTATTGTTTCTTTGAATCATTCTCCTATCCTAAAAAAAATGTTCAAATGCCTTTCTAGGTTTTTGATATATACTATTAGTACATTATCATTGTGTGTGCTCATCTTTAATTCGACATTATATGTGTTATAGTTCAAAATGATATCTTTCATAACAAATACTAAAAAGCAAAAATAATGATAGAAAGAAATTAAGATAGATGCATATATCTATAAAAATTTTTGGAGATTTTTGCTACTAAGGGGATGAGATGAGAACTATGAGATTTGTTCAAAACAGAAATGTTGGAGGAGAGAAGGATTTTTTTTAAATTGAAGTTAGTTCTGTATGTCTTTATACTGATGATAGGAATTCCAGCAGAGGATGATGCTTGTTTGTCACAATTCCTTAAAATGTGAAAGTTAAACAGATTTACTCTAGAGGAACCAACCACAGACTTTATGGGTTACAGAGCAACTTAAGTTCCAGGTTAAAAAAAATGAAATTTTAAAGAACTACCTTGGGAGTGGTTTCTGGTGGTCAAATTTACAACAGACATGAAATAATTTGCTATGAGATATGTAATCCTGGATACTGAATCGGAGATGATGTTTCTGTGTCTCATAATGACATCACCACTTCCCCATCCCATCCCAACATTAGATAGGCTCCATGATTACACAGACATATTGGTGCCTATCTGCTTAATTTTCATACATCAATATACCCTCTGCCTAATGATTCATAGGTTTAAGCATGGATGTTGCAAGCCAAAACAACAATTCAGAAAGCAGAGTGGAAACAATAGATAAGATACAAAACACATTTTGGGGGTCCTGAGGCATTCTATTTTCAATTTATCTCATGTTCTTTCAGGATCTTATTAGAATGTAAGTCATCTGATTAACTTTGTCATGTCTCCTTATTCAGCTCATTGTATCATAAATAGTAACAAAAGAGAAGAAAAATGGAAATATGGTTTATTAGGAAAGAATGGGTTCTGCCAAGACTTGTCTGTCCATCGGATGCTTATTTACTTTAAATCTTTCTATAAACTCTGCTCTGATTATCGATTTCTAAACCTTCATCCTGTTTTCTAAACTTCATCTTTATATTGTGATTTTTATGCTTATCTGGTGGGTATGAATACTCTGGGTAGATCTATGAAATTCTGGAAAACCACAGAACTTAAACAAATAGCAATTATTTTATAAAATAGCTGTTTAAGTTCTAGGGCCTGTATGAGGATTTCTGCCCTCAGAGACAAGAACATGAACAAAGACAGGGACAAATCATGTGTGCAGCCTTCAGGAGATGGCAGCTTGGATGAAATCTGAGAGTGTAATTTGTATAGGAGAGCAAACAAATCTGCCAAGAAAGCCCATTGTCAAACAGAAATATTTCATAACTACCTGAAGATACATCTAAATTTAGGTAAAAATTTCATAGAATTATTTTAAAAGTACAAAAATAAAAGTATATGAAAGTATAAAAAGATAAAAATCTGTTCCATTTGTCCACCTTACTTGATGCCCTGATCTCTAAGAGAATTTGGAAGAATTGGGCATTTGGAATTTAATAAAAGAAGTCCCTAGGACATTTGAATACTTTCCCCAACCCTATACCCTGGAAGTTCTAAACTTTACTCAGGCTGATGGAATGTACTTTCCAAAGTATGCTTTCTAAAATTTCAGAATTTCATCAATTTTACATAATTATTGATTGTAGAAATTTCATGTTAATAAAAAAGAAAAAATGATTACAGTAGATACAGCTTGTTTAACAAATAAAATGTCGTCAAAAGTACAATCTTTGGAAACCAAAATTTCAAGAGAAATGTGAAACAATTTATTTTTAAGTTTGAGAAATAGGCTGTTACCTATTTCCCACTTGTCTATAGGTATACTCAGATAGATTTAATCATACATGAGTTTTGTTATTAAATATGGTTTGATTTTTAATTCTTCTATTTCTGGTGTTCTGAAATTAGCAAAACTCCACTGCACTTACACCTAAACAGTATTCTTGCCTTAACTGATCCTCTTTTAGGATAGCCTTCCAGGTAGGGTCTTTTCTCCAACGCTGATAGAAAAGCCATATGTACAATATATACATTCATGCAATGATTTTCATTATGTTAACTAAGTTGTTAACTTGGTCTTAAGTTCATTAACTAAGTTTGTCAATTAAGTAATGTCAGAAGGTAGGTTGTGAGATGATTTGCTTTACGTGTAAAAGTTTATGAAAATAAGTTTTCATCAACCAAAAGGAAAATTGAAGCAATGACAGTTTTCTTAAGTAGCAACAATACTTACTAAAAATTGAAATAGCATTATTGCACAAAATAAAGAGAAATCTTGCCTTTGCTTTCTTAGAAAGAACCTTAGGATTCATGTCACATTTAATAGCAGGTGATGACACCAGTAGAAATGAAAACATTTAATTTTCAAAAAGTTCTCAAACAACAGAGCAAGCTTTTTTTTTACTGACTATGTTTTAATAATCACAGTTCAGTTTTTGAAAAATGAAACTTGACAAATAAAATACTTTCTTCTTTAAAGAGAATGTAGTAACAGTACTTCATTTTCTTAGGCTTATTTATTTGGTTTGAAAAAAGTCCCCCCAACAGAGAAACAACCAAGAATGTTACCTAAACAAAACCAGTCATGTTACTTAAACAATCTCCAACAGTTACACTAAAGTTTTCAGAGAAGTGACTGTAATTGCTTTATATAACCTAAATTTCTTAAACATTTATGTACTTCCCATGCTTTAAGACACAGCAAAACTTGTAAAGAAAGCTACAGAGGCAAAAGTTGATCTTACCTAAACATCTCACTCCTGAATAATGGCAAGGTCCTTTCTTCTGTGTGTCCAGTTGCTTTGAGATTCTCACTCAACTGAGTGACTCTTTCGTGCTGTGTGTTCCTGAAGCCAAAGGAGGAAATCCCATGTAATTAAATCCTAACTCGTAAAACAAGTCTGAAAGAAACAACTTGAACCAATAGTATGACTTGTGGACCAGAATCAGAGACCGGGAAACCTCACAAATCAGAAACAATTCCATTTATCCTGGTAAGTTATCAATAAACAGGACTACAGGTGGCAGGTATTTTCACAATCCTGTGGCCACTGCTTGTCACAGTTGTCTTTATTCTACAGGATGCACCACTTCTGCTTCTTATCATAAGTTCACTCCTCAGTACAGAAAACCAAGAGTTAGCAGAAAATACTTCCCATGCATTGACAGGCACCCCCCCTGAATATGCTTTTCTATATGATAAGATATTTTTCCCTCTTAATGTGTAAAACAGAGATACAGAGAAAGGCTCGAGCAGACAGGACACATGGTTATGGGATAAGTGAGCATAAACCTTGAAATTAAAACATACCTACTCTTATTCTAAATCTTGTCTTCTGAAAAAAACATCTTAGCCCAATGATACTAGAAGATAATCAGTGGAAAAGGAGAGTGTGCATGAGTGGAGGATTAGGGGAAGAATGGAAGATTAGAAGTAGTTCTTGTAGGCAGGAGCAGAACCTGAGAAAATACAGAGGCAAGAATAGTATGGAAAAGGCATTTCTGTCTAATATGTTGGTCAAGTCGAATGGCTACACTGGGATTACTTTCTAGGAAATAATGAATGCTGAAGAATGGAAATAGAATATAATCAGACTGCTATTAAAATTTGAATTCAGGCCTTAGCCTTTTCAGTAACTAATTGTGTGATTTGAGGGGGAAAAGCTGGTCTAGGGTATAAGTCACTGGTAGAATACTTACTTCGTGTGCATGAGGTACTAGGTTCAGTCGTTAGTACTAAACAAGAAAAAGGCAAAAACAAAACGTACTCCTCCCTGACTTTCTATGTGTTCATGAGGTATGGAAAGCTGAAGAGGTTCTTAGACAAGGATTTTGACTTTGTCTTATTCGTAATTGGTAGGCAATGGCCAATGCATTTACCACAGGGCTTCAATCTAACAAGTGATTTAGTAACAGTTTTTAACACAGAGTGTACAATTTAGAGAACATTGCCAGGACTAAGTGGTTCCCTTACTCTTCATAAACTCGTCTTTAGACCTTATGCCTGATTCTACACTTAGGCTTTTGACTTAAATGAATAAAATACATTTTAAAAATTAAACATATTACCTAAAAAATTTCATTTACATGCTAACTTCAAATTATTCATTTATAGATCTCTTCAACACATTTGAATAGTATCGTAGCATAAAAATTTATATTGTATTTTAATGTCATTACATGATAGTATTCTGATTCCTAATTCTTAGATAGAGTATCTTATATTCCTAACTTGTTTTAATACAATTCAAACTCAACAAATAGTACCTACAATTTACAGCTACTGACAATATAATGTCTATGTTATAAAAGATGAATTGCAATACCTTGAGTGTATTCATCATTAAATTTTTTCTAACGTGGAATGTTTTGAGTGTTTTCTACTTTTTATCTATTTCAGATGATTCTTTCAATGCTATCTTCACGAACATAGTATTTCTATTTTACTTGGATAATGATTTCAACTTAAAAGACATTGAGAAGTCATATTGGACAAATGAGTGGAAATACTGTCTTTGAATTAACAGTTATCCTCCTGTCTCAGCCTCTAGAATTTGGACAACTATCTTCTATTTTCATTTACAACAATTTCTCCTAAAAGGCAGTTCAACTCCTACGTCTTTGAATTAGTAAAGTATTTATCAATAGGTTTTTTTTTATCAAATGGGTGCTTATTTAACACAAACTGTTTGATTGATATCTTGCTATACTAACATACATTTACTGCTGTTATTGGTTACACCTGTCGCAAGAGAACTTGAAAATGAATCAAGGGAGTGGCATTGGGAAAACTGTATTCAGTCTGAAAGTGACTTCCTGCATGCTTACAATGAGCTCAATACAGAAAGGGAGGTGGAGCTGAAATTTTGGCTGGTGAGATCAAGTAATGGTTCATAATAGGAACTAGTTTCAAAGGTGTTGACTTTTAATCTTCAGATCCACAGGGAGTGGCAGGATAAACCTTGGCCTATTCTATTCTTTTGGGATAGTCTTATTCTTAACCAAAAAGAATAGGGAATGTAGAATTGTATTATACACAAGGCATCAGAATTAACTCACCATTGGTTGTGGTTTTAGTGCTGCAGTTGTATAATTCCCAAGGCAACCTGCCAGGTTGATCGACACAGCCTTCGCTGAGCTTGAAGATGGACCTGCATAAGAGATATTGACACTGGCATTTTTGCCTGATGAGTGTGAAAGAGAGAGGTTGTAGCTAAAAGAGTTCCTCTAAGTCACTTACTCTTAGCTTTGGAATATTTATCGGCTAATATCTATTGTGTTGGCTTAGACAGAAGGATGACTCATTCAGTGGAGCTCATCAAAACAAAATGAGTAAAAATCAAAAGAAACTCAGCAGCAACCTGAAGCTGATGATCTAAGAAGGTGTGGACCAATACTGTTTCCCTTTGTTTTGGAGTTTATTTCTTCATCTAGTTCAGGGAAATACAGGCATATGACTATGGGTGTTCGTGTATTTGTCATAATCACCTTTACAGAGCTATTGTAATGATAGAAAAGTAATTGCAAAAGAAAAGAAAACAGACAAATAAAAAACAAAAGGGATTAAAAAACAGAAAATAAAAATAGAGATAATACAGCTTCCACACTTAAGGCTCAACAATCATTGCCAAAGAGGGTTGTAAACATGTAAGAGCTAGAGAATCAGGAAGTTTGTTGTGAGATTGCGTCTCCTAGAGATGTCAGAAGCTCCAACATGGCCGCCTAAATACAAACTAGACAATGATGACACTAATAAACATGTTATGGATGTGGAGAAATCTTATGAGACCTTAACCATACATACACAAAGGACTACAGACAACTAAGAAATGCTGAGAGTGGGCAAAATTGTCTTCCCCAAGGAAGAACACACCAGTTGCTTAGCCATATCAAATGGTCAGCCCTGAAAGCATACATACAAATAAAATCCTGCAAACTGAGAAGACTATATTTAGGAATACATTTGTGTGCACACATATACATATGTTTATATATATATATAATATCAACAATGAATAACTAAAGAAGCCATAAATTGGTATAACAAAGAAGATTATATGGGAAGGTTTAGAGGGTGGAAAGGGAATGGGGAAATGAGGTAACTAGATTGTTATCTCCAAAAATGTGAAAGAAATATTTATAAATAAAAGTAGCGGATGTACTCACCCAAAGAAAGTTATAAAATGATATTTAACTACAAATACTTTCATTCATTATAAATATTAGCTTAAACTGGGTTTAAGTTGCAAGTGGCCCTCCTCACACTTCCACAGTATTTTGATTGAAGCCATTCTTATCCTTAAAGAATCCATACAAGCATGACTAAAGAAACACACTCCTTACACCCTGGTGTGACTGTCATGCTGACAGTCAACGATTCTCTTACATGTTCTCATGATGCTACTTTTAACCAGGTTTTCACAGTTAGTTCTGAAAGAAGCATCTTAGAGATAGACTTTTTTTTTTTAAAAAAAAAACTTGTTAAAGGCAAAGAATCTATCATTTATCCTTTTCGAGTCCTCCCCTTAAGCTGCACACTACTTTCCTCCTGTAAAAGTTGTAATGGTTAATCTTGAGTGAACTTGATGAAACTTAAAATCACCCAGGAGACATATTTCTGGGTGTGTCTATGAGCCTGTTTCCAATGAGGTTTAACTGAAGTGGGGAGATTTACCAGGAAGGTCGGCAGTACCATTCCACACACTGGGACTTCAGAGCAAATAAAGAGAGGGAACAAGCGGAGAGCCAACATTTGCTTCTCTCTGCTCCTGCCTACTGATACAATATTACTTGTCGCTAGACCATTGCCACTACAGGTAGAGGCACTCACTGTCATGCCTCCCCACATGGATGGATCATGTCCTCAAACTATGAGCTAAAACAAAACCTTCTTTCTTTAAATTCCTTTTCTCTAGTATCTGATTAGAGCAGTGGAAAATGGCACTGAGTGGGACCATTGCTGTGATAAACTTGATCACTTTTAAATTTTGAAACAGGTTTCCTTTGTGGGGGGGTGTTTATGAGAGAGTTTGGGGTTATGGGCTAGAGAAGCCAGATTGTCCTAAGCAGAGAATAATTGGGCCGTTCTAACTGGTGCTTTGAAGAGCAGAATGCCAAGAGAAATATGGAAAATGGGAACCCAACTCATGAGTTTTCAGAAGAGAACGACGATTCTTTAAGGAACCGTGTTGAGGTTCTTTCATGCTATATTCTAGAAAGAATCTGAGAGGGCAGACTATGAAGTAGAAAGTTATGAAAAATGCACAGTTTGGTGAAGAAAGGACTACCAGCAAATTAAAAGTTGCAGACAAGGGTGGTGCTGAAAAAATAGTTGCAATTGTTAAATAGATCAGCTAGCTCTCTCTCTCTCTCTCTTTTAATCTTTTTATTTTACATCCTGGCCACAGCCTCCCTCCCTCTTTCCTTCCTAGGTCCCCCGCTCTTGCCCCCAACCGACAATGCCCAGATGAAATAGATCCACACTCTTCAAGAGAACTTTTATGCTGTACCCTGCGCCATCAGAACAGTTTCCCAAATGCAAAATCCCACATACTATAGGCTCCAACTTACAAAAATACAAATTTATGTAAAAGAAGAGAGCCTGAACTCAGCATGCTACTGAAGATAGAGTATTTCTCTGTTCAAAAAAGATCACCTGCGGTGTTTTCTAAATTTCAGCTACTAAGTACACAGAGGTCATTACTGCTGTCATAGATGAATGCTAGACTACATCTTGAACAGGGAGAAGAACTTAGTAGCATTATCCATATGGTTCTAGCTTCATAGGCATGCAGAGTGTACGAGTTCTGGGGTGATAGGTTAACATTACGGTTACAGGCAATGCCTGGTGGGACCGAATTCCCTCCAAGGAGGCCCAGAGAAGTCACTGTGTAAAGCCGTGAAGATAAAGTCTATGTTGTATTGAAAATTTTAGGATGCTAGAAATTGCAGGTGTGTAAGACATCAACTAAGGAAAAGTCTCAGACACAGACTTGAATTAGTTCAATAGAGAAGCTACATATAACACAACAGAAGAATTGAGCAGGTCCAGCTACCCTAGACT